TATTAGAACCTCTGCCCACTATTTCCCTTTTCATGATGTTTTCCTGACATGCTTATGTTTCACTTACACATGTACCACATTCTGAACAGTCCAAATTTGGTCTTGTGTGTAGGAATGACATCAGTATTAACCAAGTGCATCTGTTAGTGTTGTCAAATGCAGAACCTGTTGCAATGGCAGCAGTTCAAGCTCTAACTCTGTGAAAGCACCGAAGGAAAACAGTTTTTCATTCTGGAGCCCATTGGGAGGCAGTGGAAGAAGCACATGGAAATTACTCAGTTGGATGCATCCAGTTCAAGAGTTACCAGTCCAGGTCCTCAAAATAAGCCAGATGCTGTTTTCTAACCACCACTGAGTAACTATTAATTAACACAAAGGTTTATAAAAGCTGAATTGAAGTTGCTTAGTGGTGGTTCCTGTCCTTCCAGAATACCGTCCTGGGCTGCACATTGCCTCTGAGGACAAGGACGCAGGAGGCCCATGACCAACACCCCTTTGGCATACCTTACTGTGTGTGGTGGTTAGTGCTCAGGCTTTAACAATGCCCACTGAAGCGCAGGGCAGCACAACACATGCAGTTCAGCAGCAGTTTTGAAATGAGTGCAGAACTGGTTCAACAACAGCGATAAACACAAAGAGTCCACACTGCATGGGACTCAAAGCTGCTGTGCGCAGTGAAGCACATACTGTTGGTGACTCCTTGTAGATAGCTGGTACTACTAATAGTACTTATGATATCATAAGTACTATCCAGTTGGGAGCCTACCCCTGCCTTTTAGACACTAGAGTGTTCTAAATAGAAAAAGTTGCACTCATTTTGGGTTGTGATAATATTGCCAACCTCTTTCAAGCTCACGCTTGTGTTTTCTGTCTCCTCTTTCTATAGCATAAGGCTGAAATGTAGAGTGCTTTTAGGGCCAGGCCAGGCAAAACTGCTGGTCTTGCAGGCCAGGCAGGATCAGCTCTGCCAGGGATTCAATGAAGATAAAAGCAGCCTTTTAGCTATCCATAATGGAGAAAGGGTATCTACGGATATTATAGGAAGCATGCTGAGTTGTAGCTGAAGGCTGGTAATAACTTCCACTTCTTGTGGTTGACAAAATAGGGCATCTTCTAGTTTATCATGATCTGGTCTTTGGCATACTGCACAAGCCTTACGTTTCTGTTTAGGTGGAAACTTCTGTCATTGATCCTCCAAATAAACAAGTCCCTTAGAGAAATTATTGCTTTTACCTGGGAATGACCCATTTCCTGATGGTGAGTGGCAAAGAAGAGAGGGAATAGCAATGGGTGAAGGTCAAACTTCAAATTTTAGATCTTGCATCCTGGGCCTGGAATGAAAGCCTGGTATTTTGCCTGTCAGTGCTTAGCTCTCATCAACAAAGTAGCATAGGTTCAGATACATCCTGTTGCTGACAATTAATCCCTCTTCTGACCCATTATAAATAGATTTAGCTTTGTAATCAGTGTGATCTTCCAAGTATGTGGTAGATTTGAACGTTACCCTGACTGAGATGTTGCTGTTCACATTGCCTGTGAACCTAAGTGTGGTTATTGCTATGATCTCTGGTAGGACTCCTTGCTGCACTTCTGCAGGGTATCTACTAACAGGGCAGACACTGGATTTTCTGAATTTTCCTTTAAGACTGCTTCAAGGTTTTGTACTTGCATGACCTATATTCAGCGACGTAACACAGAACTCCCTTATCCTGTTTGCCAGATACAGTGTATAAAGCTTGTAAATAAGTACGCATTTGATTTGCATAAATTATTAACTTGCCAGAGAATTGTGATTTTTATCAAAGATTCTGTAATGAAATTTTATTGTTGCAGAAAATGCTTGGGCAATCATTCATGGCGATAAGCCTGCATATAGCTGGAATACTTACAAATGTCATTCCTCGAAAACATTCGTGTTAATTAGGGTCAAGTCAGTCACCATAAAAGATAAATTCCTCTATTGAATATAACTTACCAGTGAAATTAATACAGGGAACAGGAAAGAGAAATGCTTTTGACTTTACAGCCATAGTTTATCAAGTGCTTTCGTAAACACATCTGTCTAGAGAAATAAACAAAACATCAACATTTCTGTCCGCCTTGACAGTAAAAGCTACTTATTTCACCAGGGTGCTGACTATTGTTTACTAAAAAGTGCTATTAAGCAATGACAGAAGTGTTTATTTCCCATATGCTAAGAAATGGATTGTTCCAGAGGCCAGTGATGTTACAGAAAAATTCTTTGATGTTCTTTACAAAAGCAAGCTGGGCTAGCACAGGATTGTCACCGCCTGATGCCCTGAATGGTGCCCGCGCTCAATAGCAGCCACTCAGTTTCACAGAGGACACAGGCTTCCCTATTTGCATTTTCACTGCGTTCCCATTACTTATGAAGGGAAGACTAAGGAATGAATGGGCACAGACTGCTGATTTATCCCCGAGTACAAGGCTTACTGGCAGGATTATGGAGCTGGTGATGCTGCTACTTTACTGTCATACACATAAAAAAGAATTAGTATCAGGCAAGCATGAAAATCTGTCTCATCATTTTCACCTTTTCCTCTTCAAACCCGATTTTGAAAGATCAAAGATTATGATGTGGAATGCATACATTTACACACACACATATATATTGGCTATGCTTGACAGATAACTGTAATCGAGAGGGAATGAGTGCACAGCTCTGCTGCTGTTGCTGGAAGGTGGCAGTGCTCAGCGTGTCACAGGCCTGGAGTCGTTTTATTTTCCTTAAGCCTGTGATAAAGCACAAACCAGAGATTTTTTGTATATATTGCTCATCCGAGCCTTTATGATTTGTTAGCTGCATAGATTGCTTTTCATGGGTTGACAAAAATGAAACATGCTCTTTGTATTGCAAAGTACAAGCACAGTATATTCTGCATGATTTTTACTCTAATTTTACATCATTTGGGTGACTACAGAATAGGTAAGGTCTTGGGATGTAAATGCCTGGTGTTTGTTTGGTAGAACTAAGATAACAGAGGTAATTTCTGCTCTTGTATTTGTAGGGCTGGGTCACTCTGGTAATACCCAATGAAGTGCTACCTTGTCCTTCAGAAGTTCAGGTTTTGTTTTCCTTTACTGAAAGATACCTCTCTACCTGGACTGGCTTCCAGAAAAGCTCACCTGCGCACTGACAGTAACCCTCCTTGAGCTGTCTCTGTGAATATGCTGGCAGCTGACCGTAATTAGGTTGGAAGTTGCGAACATTATTCCCTTTCATTTTTATGAAGTCTCATTTCAGACGGCCACTGGAGATAAAGTAAGCACCAGCTCCATTCCCTCATTATCTCCTCCTATAGCACCAGCAGGAGGGAGCACTTGTGTTAACAACTTGCTCTTGCGGCTGGTTGTGTCTCATTCCAGCACAATCAGCAGCCAGCAGCTGGGGGACACCGCTGTTTAGATAGATCACCTCCTGGAGAAGCAGCCTGGCGTAGCTGCTTGAGAAGCCAAATCTTGCTGAGGGGACATCTAGCTCCAGAAGGCCTGGGCAGTTCCAAGAGCATGCTCCATGCTGACGGTGAGGGCAGCCCATGTTGGCCCTGTGGTGACTTGCATGGGCAGATATTTGGAGCCAGAGCCCATGATGCCCATGTCTGCAGGGGATTGCTAACCGGGAGGAGGTGGTGGCTGAGGGGCTGGTTGAAAGCCTCCATGCTCAGACAGCCCTGGGCACTCAAACCCCCCTGCCTGGCAGTGGTGAGGTGCAGGCTAGAGCCCGGCCACCCACTATGCCCCTTTCTGCCAGCCCCTTGTCGGCAGCAACCTGCTGGACCTTGCCCAGGCAGCACTGTGAGGGGATGGGGCCAAAGCGGGAGACAAGGCCCTGCAGCAGCGCTGCACCTGAGAGACAAGGCTTCAGGTGGTGTGAGCTGCCTCCTTCCCCTAGTGCCAGCTGAGGAACAGGGGAGCACGGGAGAGAGCCCCACTTCAGTGCTCATGCGGGGGGTGAGCGGGTGGAGTGACATTAGAGGGGTATAGAGAGAATCATAGAATCAGTCAGGTCAGAAAAGACATTTAAGATCACCAAGTCAAACCTTTACCCCACCACTAAACCATGTTACTGAGGGTCTCATGATTCCACCGCTTCTCTGGGCAGCCTGTTCCAATACCTCATCACCCTCTCGGTGAAGTACTTTTTCCTAATATCCAGTCTAAACCTCCCCTAGTGCAGCTCGAGGCTACTACCTCTTGTCCTATCACTTGTTACTTGGAAAGAGACCAACAACCTCCTCCGTGTGTCCTCCCTTCAGGTAGTTGTAGAGAGCGGTAAGGTACAGCCCCGAGCCTTCTCTTCTCCACACTAAACAACCCCAGTTCTCTCAGCTGCTCCTCGTAAGACTTGCTCTCTAGACTCTTGATCCACTTCATTGCCCTTCTCTGGACCCGCTCCAGCACCTCAGTATCTCTCTCGTAGTAAGGAGCCCAGAACTGAACAAAGTATAGAGGTGCAGTCTCACCAGTGCCGAGTAGAGGGGTCCAATCACTTCCATAGCCCTGCTGGCCACACTACTGTTGATACAGCCCAGGATGCTGTTAACTTCTTCGCTGCCTGGGCACAAGCTGGCTCATGTTCAGCAGCCGTCAATCAACACCCCAGGGTCCTTTTTCCCCCAAGCCTACAGATACGTGGGGGTGTCGCCTTCAACACAGCACCCTGCGCTCCCCACATGCCCGCCACAGGAGGCGCAACAAACGCCCGAAGCACCCCCTAAAGATGTCCCTCCCGACTCCCCACTTCCGCGGCCCACCGGTCACATGACTACACTTCCCAGGAGCCCGCGGACCGGCGGCCCCACCAGCCGGGCCCGGCCCGGCCCCGCCCTCCCCTGCCGCCTGGCATCACGGTCCATGTAGTCTTGGGGCGCTGCCGCTCCCTGGCCGAGCCTGGGCTTCCCTGGCGGAGAAGACTAACGCTCCCGAGAGGCCTCGCGGCTCCGCGCCTGCGCGTGGAAGTGAAAGGCCGTTGCGTTGCGGGCAACGGTTAAGGCAGCGAAGAGGCAGTAACCGGCGGCGCCGGCAGCTTCCGCGTTTGCCGGGAAGGGGGGGGGTGCGAGGAGCGGCGGCGGCAGCAGCGGGAGGAGGGCGCTCGGTGGATGGGCGGTTGGCGGCCGGCAGCGGTACCAGTACCAGTACCAGTCAGGCGGCGGTCGTTAGCTGGGGCGCAGGGGATGAGCCTGTGAGGGCGGAGGAGCAGGGGTGGGGGTGAAGCTCGGCCAGAGCAGAGAGATGTCCCAGCCTCAGCAGCAGCAACAGCCGCCGCCGCCACCGCCGCCGTCTCCTCAGCAGCAGCCGCTGCCTTCGGCCGCCTCCAAGAAGAGGGACCGGCGCATCTTCTCGGGTACCTGCCCGGACCCCAAATGTCAGGCGCGGCTCTTCTTCCCGGCCCACGGGCCGCAGAGCAGCGGCAGCATCGAGTGCACGGACTGCGGGCAGCGCCACGAGCAGCGGCAGCTGCTGGCCGTGGAGGAGGTGACGGACCCCGACCTGGTGCTGCACAACCTGCTGCGAAACGCGCTGTTGGGCGTCAGTGGTGCCGGCCCGCCCCGCAGGAACACCGAGCTCGTCAAAGTCATGGGCCTCTCCAACTACCACTGCAAGCTCCTGGCCCCCATCCTGGCCCGCTACGGGATGGACAAGCAGACTGGCAAAGCCAAGCTCCTCACAGAGATGAACCAGGGAGACATCTTTGACTGTTCCCTCCTGGGTGACCGCGCCTTCCTCATTGAGCCGGAGCATGTTGAAACCATTGGATATGGAAAGGACCGCTCTGGCAGCCTCATCTACCTGCATGACACCCTGGAAGACATCAAGAAGGCCAACAACAGTAAGGAGTGCCTCATTCCAGTCCATGTAGATGGAGATGGCCACTGCCTTGTCCACGCAGTCTCGCGGGCACTTGTTGGCAGGGAACTGTTCTGGCATGCTCTGCGGGAGAACCTAAAGAAGCACTTTGAGGAGAACCTGAGTCACTACAAGGCACTTTTCCATGATTTTATTGATGCAGCAGAGTGGGAGGACATTATCAATGAATGTGACCCTTTGTTTGTTCCTCCAGAAGGTGTGCCAATGGGCCTTAGGAATATTCACATCTTTGGCCTGGCCAACGTGCTTCACCGGCCTATCATCCTGTTAGACTCCTTGAGTGGAATGCGGAGCTCTGGAGATTATTCGGCGACGTTCCTCCCTGGCTTGATACCCTTAGAAAAATGCATGGGAAAAGATGGCATGTTGAACAAGCCAATCTGCATAGCCTGGAGTAGCTCAGGACGAAACCATTACATTCCTCTAGTTGGAATAAAAGGTGCTGCTTTACCTAAACTGCCTAGGAAGCTGCTTCCTAAAGCCTGGGGAGTCCCTCAAGACCTCATCAAAAAGTACATCAAGTTAGAGGAGGATGGTGGCTGTGTCATTGGAGGAGACAGAAGTTTGCAAGATAAGTACTTGATGAGGCTTGTTGCTGCAATGGAGGAGGTTTTCATGAGTAAACACGGGATCCATCCCAGTCTTGTAGCTGATGTACATCAGTATTTCTACAGAAGGACTGGTGTAATAGGAATCCAGCCTGAAGAAGTCACTGCAGCTGCCAAAAAAGCAGTGATGGACAACCGCCTTCACAGGTGCCTCATCTGTGGGGCCCTTTCAGAGCATCATGTGCCTCCAGAGTGGCTGGCTCCCGGGGGGAAGCTATATAACCTGGCAAAAAGCACTCACGGACAACTGAGGCCTGACAAAAATTACAGCTTTCCCCTGAACAGTTTGGTGTGTTCCTACAACCCTGTGAAGGACGTGCTGGTACCAGACTATAGCCTGAGTAGTTTGACTGCTTGTAACTGGTGTCATGGTAACTTAGTGCGTCGTGTCAGAGAAGATGGATCTGTTTTGTATTTGGATGGAGACAGAACTAATACTCGGTCCACAGGTGGCAAATGTGGCTGTGGGTTCAAGCACTACTGGGAAGGTAAAGAATATGACAACCTCCCTGAAGCTTTTCCTATTACTCTAGAGTGGGGTGGAAGAGTGGTGAGAGAGACCGTTTACTGGTTCCAGTATGAAAGTGACACTTCTCTGAACAGCAATGTGTATGACGTCGCCATGAAACTTGTTACCAAGCACTTCCCTGGGGAATTTGGTAGTGAGATTCTTATTCAGAAAGTTGTCAACACAATATTGCATCAAACTGCCAAAAAGAACCCTGATGATTATACCCCTGTAAATATCGATGGTGCTCATGCCCAAAGAGCTGATGATGTACAGCAAGGACAAGATTTAGAGTCACAACTTCCAACCAAAATTATTTTGACTGGACAGAAGACAAAAACTTTGCACAAGGAGGAGCTGAACATGAGCAAAGCTGAAAGAACTATTCAGCAGAACATTGCAGATCAGGCTTCTGTAATGCAGAAGCGGAAGAGTGAAAAACTGAAACAAGAGCATAAAGGGCAACCTAGGACTGCTTCTCCTGGTGCTGCCCGTGAGGGGCCATCATCTGCACCTGCTACACCAACAAAAGCCCCCTATTCTCCAACGTCTACAAAAGAAAAGAAAATTCGAATAACCACAAATGATGGGAGACAGTCGATGCTGACACTGAAGTGCACTACCACCTTCCTGGAACTGCGGGAGAGCATAGCAAGAGAATTTAATATTCCTCCCTATTTGCAATGTATTCGCTATGGCTTTCCCCCTAAAGAGCTGCTGCCTCCCAAAGAAGGCATGGAAAATGAGCCTGTTCCTTTGCAGCACGGTGACAGGATTGCCATAGAAATCCTGAAAGGTAAGGAGGAAGGCAGGCAGTCTGCTTCAGCACACGCGGCCCATGCTGTGAAACATGAAGATATTGCTCTGACTAGTAAAATCTCATCGAAAGAACTGCAAGAGCAAGTGGATAAGGAGATGTATTCTCTCTGTCTTCTAGCAACACTAATGGGTAAGCCTGACTTCCAGCTGTATTTTAAAATTGTGATTTTAAGTAGAGGGTAACATAACCTGTAGTTACATACATACCTTTTTTCCCCTTTCTTTTCTGTAACCACGGAGAAGGTTAGCTCCTTTATTCCTCTACTAGAAGAACGGCTAACATGCTGTCAATGATTTGCTGGGTGTTGTGACTTTCTAAAATGTGTGTGTGAGATACTTGTTCTTTCTTTGCTATGTATTTAAGAGATTTGCTAATTGGAAGTTGTTGCATTTCCTCTGTTGTCTTCTCTTTTTCCTGTCATTCATTAGGCACACATCTCATGTGTATGTGTGTGGGTAACTTGCTCCCTATATTTCCTAATCTCCCTCAGGTTTCAGGAAATAAAGTCAGAGCCAAGGTGAGAAGGGGACTCTGAGTGTCTTATCATTGGAAGTTCGAGGATCAAATTCTCACCTCTGTAGTAGAATGAAATCTTGCCATTTCTTGCCACAGGGGAGTTGTGTTGGTTTAAGCAAATTGGCACAGCATTGTCTCCTTAGCTAATCTGCTAATTTTAAGTAAAGAGCTGGTCTTTTTAGAGAGCTGTGCAAAGCATTATCTCAGAATGTAAGCAGAGGAGAAACTGGAAGAATCTAACCACAGATTTGAATCCTGGAGGTGGACACAGGGTTGTGAAGCCGCCGTTCTTATCAATTGTCAGGCATGTAAATCTGACAAACTGTTAATAATTCAAGACAGAAAGACTTTTCCCAGGTGCCTGTATTTTTTATATTCATATTTGGACTCGGGAGACTTGGACATTCATTTGTGTACTTTCTTCATCAGGTTCCACAGCTCCTGCTGCTTACTGGCAGGAAGTAGGGCAGTAATTACCATACATTTAGCTCTGTGAACCAGTTGAATAGCAATGGTTGCAGAGTTTTTTGTTTTGTTTTGTTTTGTTTTTTTGTTGGATGGTTGTGTTATTTTTGTTTGGTTTTTTTGGGGGGGAGCCTTCTCTTTCGCTGGAGGGATTTGGTGTGGCTAAAGCATGTGATACTTTAGAAACGAAACAATTGCATAATCACAGGCTGGTATGTCAGAAGTCCATCAAGCAGAACTTTGATTCTTTTCAAAGCTTGACTGTTTACTGCAAGATAGAGTGCTGAATCACTAGTCACCTCAACACACTGACACCTGCACCTATGTTCCAAAGTGCAGGAAAAGCTCAGGTTTAAATTTGGAGATGAAGCTTAAAAGAGAGCTTTCTGTTTCCAGGCAAAACTGCTGAAAGCGTAGTTACTGGCTTACAGAAACCTCTGACATGGTTTAAAAGTATCTTGGTTACTTCAGCATTAAGGTGTGTCATTTTATTTACAGGTACTTATTCATAAAATGGGAACTTGTATTCAAGAATTCATTTCTTGTCTCTGACTTTCACTGCTGTTAATTTCTGCTTTCGAAGCACAGGTTAGAATAGAATTTACCTCACCCTTCTCTTATCACATCTATTTTGTATTACTAATAGAAGTAAAAGGTGCAGCAAATGATAAACCATTTATAACAACTAATGCAGCTACTGAATAAGGTGCTATTTTTAGATAATAACTTTTCTCACGAGGGCTTCATTTTCCATTAAAGATACTTGTAAAAACAAAATCTGGGCAGGTCACTGTTTACAGTTGGGATTTTTCAATGGGGAGACAAACTCTTAAGAAACTTCCTTAGTCCTTGCACTTTAAGAGCGTTGGAGTGGCGGTTCTCAGGGTGGTGTATTCAGCCTTGCTGGGGTGAGAGGCTTCAGTATTTCTCAGTGACGTTTCTGTATTGCTAAAAAACAGTGCTGGGAAGTTCTGAGAGTCAGCTTATCCTGCATGCTCTTGTTGTAAGTGTGTTCTGCTAGAAACATGCATCTAATAATACAGTCACGTTGGAAGGTCCAAAGGGGAGATGCTGGTGAAGTAGCTTGCTGTTTTATTTTTTTAACTCCCCAGTGCCCAAACTTCTGTAACAATTCACTGTGGATGTTTAAAAGCTTTTCTTTGGAACAGGGTCTCCTGTAGGCTGACTTGATGCTTCTCTCATTTCAGTTTGTAGAATTTTTGATTTCTGGCCTCAGCCGGTTAACTGATTACAGTTTTAGACCATGTTCTTTTATTTTTCTGTATCTAATTTAAAGATAAGCTCTGGGAAATCAGACAGTAATTTCTGGACCACATAACATATTATGCATGATTTTTTTGGTAAAGCTTTCTCCTCTTTTTTTATCTCAAAATACAGAAGTCTATCAGGAAATGAATTAAGGAATTGTAACTGTACATTAACACAGCTAAAGCATTATGTTTTGAAACAGATTTAATTGCACCCATGCAGAAGCACTCTGGATACGTGCAAGCCAAGTATGAATCTATTGTGATTGGTTTGTTTTGCGTTGATGAATTAATCAGTGCACAAGAAATCAAAATTGCCTGGTTTAAATATATTAACACCAGCACTTGCTAATATTAAGCAGCTTGGTTTTAAGCCACCTGTAGTTCCCTGTAACCTGTGTTTATCAGTTCAGTTTTTTATTTGTTCTCTGCTTCTGTTTGTCCTCCCCGATGTATGAAGTGCTGGTCTTGGGCTTCCACTGGCATAGGTTAATCTGCAACTGCTCTTTTTGTGCAGTGTATGAGGCATACTTGTGTGTAGGGTAGTCTCCATTTGTTACCATACCTTTGTGGGCCTGAGGTTTGGTCTGAGAGAATGGGAACAGTGTTAACATCATCTCTTTGATAAATGTAGTAACTTGAGGGAATTTTTAACTAAATGATCACCCAAATTAACTTGTGACCTGTAAGTGTCTTACTGCCATGGTAATGAAACTCAAAACAAATAATAAAACCCAACTAGAAACAAAAATGTGCAAACCTCAAATGCAGTTGTGTTGAATCACACAAGCTAGTTCCTTTGATCTGGGAAAGTCCAGTTGTGATTGTGGGTTTGATTTTGTGTGGAAGATCTCTTTATCAAAACAGTATCATTGCTTTGTGTTTCTTTCAGTGGCTGATGCTTTTGTTTTGTGAGCCCTGCTCTCCATTCTTTTCTGCATAAAAGGCAGTTAGTGTTGCATAAAAGGTTATCTAAACAGTGATGCTTCTCTTGTTCAAGGTTTGACAAATGCTCAAACCAAATAGGGAATCTTTTCTTGGAGAATCCTACTAACGTGTAAAACCTGGGCTTCTTAGCGAAGCCAGGTGGTTGTCTTCTGGAAAGTAGCCTCTAGTCTTGAATAAGAATGGATTGCTAGATGCAGCAGCATAGGAGTCTGTAGTAGGAAGTCAGCCACTCTGTGGCTGCTGGTTTTGGGAGATGGTTTGTATTCTGCTGCTTATCAGTGTAGTGGTTGTTTTGATTCCTGTGAGCAGTATTTAAACCATCAGGAAGACCTGGGGGGAAATGAAGAGCCACAGCAGTGATGCTATGGAACCATTGTGTGTAGGGATATGGATTGCAAAATGTAACTGACAATAAGGATGCAGGGTAGCAGTGAGCCCCTTTTGAAATATCAAAAACATTAGAGAGTGTTATTGGTAGTGATTGCCCTTCCTCCATGCAGCTGTTGGAAGAAGAGAGAAAACAGTGGCAATAGTGGGGAAGAAAAAGGAATGCTCCTATTAGGTTTTTTAATGTCCTTTTTGTATTGAGCGCTTCTTAGAGCGAATGGGGACTGGCATAACACGTGGAGAGATGAGCAAAGGAACCCTTCTTGTGGGGGGATAGACAAGCAGGGGAGTGTATGGAGTCACGTGCCTGCTGGGGAAGGGAAGTGGGAAAGTCGGCAAGTGGCTTAAAGGGTTGCAAGGCGTAACCATAGCACATAATGCCACTGTCATGAGGGTGAAATGTTTTCTCACCTGAGGTGAGTGGACAGGACTAGCCACAGTTAGCTTGTGGGATATACATAAAGAAGTGCTAGGAGGGATTTAGATGTGCTCTGTAGTTCAGTATGTAGGAAGCTATTAAAAATAACTTTTATTTTCCTCTTAGCAGCAAGCAAAGAAATAATGGTAATATTTTTAGCGTCATGCATCCCAGCTGTCTCTAATACAAGTAGTAAGTGCATCTAGTTAATTTTATTTTATGATCTGCGTTCTCCAGTTTTAACAGAAAATTGAGAGATGTGGTTATTGAGATTTTAATGCCTAAAGAAGGGTGCAGTTTCAATTTAGGGTATCTCAGTATGTTGCCTGAATGATTGATGCAAATGGGAAAAGCAGTTTTTTCTGAAAATGTATACAGGCGGTATTTGCTTCTGCATCAGGAGAATGGAATTTATCAGTACTTTTTATTTGCACTGTTTGACAGCTACATCACAAGTTACTTCTCTCAAGCAGGTAAGTGGTTAGCAAAATTGGAAAAGGGCACAGGTAGAAGTGCAGATCTGAACCGATTTAGCAGATACTGTTAGGCTACTGATATTCTGTCACTGTAATCCAGTTTTCTGTTCCTTATATTCCTTTCCTTACATAGTCAAGTTAAGGGTTTTTTTCCCCCTCTCAGTGGCATTTGAAGTTGTCACATTTCAATGCCATTTTTAGCATCTTTGGAAAATGCCAGTTACATGGGACAGCTGGGGCCTCACAGGTTTTGTATTTTGCTTCTAACTCTCAAGAAAAGCAAGGTACAGACACAGCTTCTGCACAGCTGCCTGTGTAGATGTTTGTATCTCAATGACAGTATAAAGTCTGCTGTATGGCAGCTGTCAAATCGAGATCTGATTTTTGAGAAGGTGTAGGGGTATAGAATTGAGATTTTAATGTGCAAGGGTATGTGCTTGAATTTTGGAAGTGTGGTGGTGTTTTTCTTTTTTTTGCTAGTTTTATGTTGAAAGCATGAGTGGGAGGGGAATGGAGACTTGTGTATAGGGCCTGGCAAAGAATCAGGAGCTGCAGCTTGGGTCAAATAAAATTTGGGAACCTTGTACTAGAACATGTAGGATATTTGACTGCAGACAGTGGTATGTTTGCCTGAAAGTTTCTTCGTGTCCTGTGGTCCTGTTATATAAATTTGCTATAAATAATTGCATAGAAGACAGTGAGGATTCAGCTTTTAATTCAAGGAGTTGCATTTTTGAGCATTGTCTGTAATGTTAAAATACAACTGTTTAATGTTTTTGATTTTTACAGGGGAAGATGTTTGGTCTTACGCAAAGGGGCTTCCTCAGTTGTTTCAACCAGGTGGAGTATTCTACAGCATGATGAAGAAAACCACAGGTATTTTTTGGTTTTGTTTTTATCCCTTCCTTCTATTTCCAGATCTTTAAAATGGTGAGTTGGTATTGAGTCCCTTGTGAGCATAAATATATTTTTATTTTATTACCGTGGTACATTTTAATTTTCATGATACTGTAGAACTTCTTACGCTTCCTCAAGAACTTCAGGCTATGGAATTTTGCTAAGACTAGTTCATTCAACTTAAACCTCTTCTTTTCTGAAATTTTCTCTACAACCATACATTTCAATTTAAACTTACTGAATTATATAAACAGCTTCAGTAAGTCAAATGATTTTGTTTGTTATTTTTTTCCCCAGAGAGATCAAAGAAAGAGAAGATCATAGGACTTATTCCTGTTACACTTTAAAACACTTACTGGATAAACAGTTAATCTTTCTAGTGTGTTTCTTAGTAGCTATTTTATACAGGGCTGCTGCATGTTTTAAACATAAATGGTCTTTCATATTCTTAAGGTGGTTGGTCAAAAGCAAAGCTATCTTCTTTTTGAATTGATAAAAGTTGCATCTTGGGCAATGTGCAGAATAACCAAGCAAGTAGTTAAGAGTATGTTTGATTTTTAGACAGCTTTACAAATGCTGCCTACAAAGAATACCATCTTTCTTTAGAGAAGAAGGTACCAGTTATTTTATCACATTTCAAGTTTCATATTCAAGTCTTTACATTCATGGTTTAGCTCTTGTGGTTTCATCTAGTATAATGATTCTTTTTTTTTTGGCTGCTTTCTTACTGTTTGATTTCTTAGACAGTTTTTTCAGCTATAACTTGATTATATGTGGAAAGAGGTATTTTACCACATAATTTCTATGCTGTTTGCAGTAATTGAAATGTGTGGTATATTTACTGTCCACTACCTCCCACTGAACTATTAGCCTGGGTAACAGAATTAGCATGCCAAGTGTCTTATACCAGATCTGTTTCCTTTTAGTTTTCTTTCTTCTATTACGCTTGTACAGTGAAGACTGGTGTATTGTTTGTGGCAAGTGAGTTAGCTTAAACAGTGGCTGATAGAAAGGACCTTTTGGACCAATTAACAAGTAGACAGAGTTGAGAACCTGAAATGAATCCAAGGGATTTTAACCCAGCTGGTCATTAACTCACAGAAAATGCCCGATTTTCATTGTCAGTTGGCAAAAATGACTTAAGAACTATGACAGTGGGAGATGATACTCTGTATTTGAACATTATTGCAGCATTATTACATCATTTCTCTGTGTTGTAGGTGTTTTGCACTACCTTGGTAGGTAGAACTACTATTTCAGCCTTAACATACTTCTGTGATTTTTACTACATTGCCGCTAAACAATTGCAATGTGCAGCAATCTTTTTTGTTTTGTTTTGTTTTCACTAAAGGAAGCTCGCTCCTTACCTATCTGTAGTATTTTAGTTAATGTAATAATGCAACTATGATACTGGACATTTAGAACAAAGCTTTCTATCAATTGCAGGTACTGTTTATCAATTGAAGTTTGATTTAGTGGATCTTGTTTAACATATTTGAAATTTCAGAATTGTAATTTCAGAGGCAGTTCTTTTCAGGTCTTTTCATTAGAATCACCACAGAAGGCAGCAGCATCTTAAGGCTATACTGTGATTGCTGGCATATGGCATACAAGCCTAAATTTCCTCCCACAGTATGAAGTTTCAGTGTGTTTCCACATATCTGGTGCAATAAATTTAAATACAGTAATCAATCTGTGTATTCAAAGCATGCTTTAAGATATTTTAGTACCATGAATAACTTCTTCTATCTTTATAGGTTTGGCTGATGGCAAGCACTGTACTTTCCCACATCTGCCTGGTAAAAACTTTGTATACAATGCAGCAGAAGACAGATTAGAGCTGTGCGTGGATGCTGCTGGGCACTTTCCTATTGGTCCTGATGTTGAAGAGTTGGTTAAAGAGGCCTTAAGTCAAGTGCGAGCAGAAGCTACTTCAAGAAGCAGGGAAGCAAGTCCTTCACATGGAATGCTGAAGCTGGGTAGTGGTGGAGTGGTGAAAAAGAAATCTGAACAACTACATAACATAACTGCATTTCAAGGAAAGGGCCATTCCCTGGGAACTGCATCTAGTAGTCAACAACATGATCAAAAAGCCAGGGAAACACCACTTTTAAGAAAGCATAGCACAGAAACAGACTTCAGTCCTTCTACTAAAATTGAGCCTTCTGTATTCACAGCTGCTTCTGGTAACAGTGAGCTTATCCGAATTGCTCCGGGAGTTGTGACAATGAGAGACAGCAGGCAGCTTGACCCCACTTTGATTGAGGCACAGAGAAAAAAGTTGCAGGAAATGGTCTCTTCTATTCAGGCTTCAATGGATAGACATTTGCGGGATCAGAATACAGAGCAGTCAGCATCAGTTGATCTGTCTCAAGGAAAAGTAGAGGCAGTGAGTTCAACTGCTAAAACTGGGAGCTTTCAGGCTGCCTTACCCGAATCACTGTCTGCACCAGGTGGTACTGAACACTTGAATACTGAATCAACTGATGGTAACATGGTGAATTCTGTGGGAACAACATTCCCTGCAAGGTCTAAAGCACAAAAGGGAAATTCTGTTGAGGAGCTTGAGGAGATGGATAGTCAAGATGCAGGAATCACTAATGCAACTGAGCCAATGGATCACTCTTGATAGGTTAAAATCTAATAAGGGTAGAAAAAATTACTGTTCAAATGTAATGTTTATTGGCTGGGCCACACAAAGTGATTAGTTATTAAGTCTTGTATGTATGTCAAAGATTATATCATCTTACTCAGTGCATGATAAGCGTGTGATTGGCAATAGCTTTCAATATTACCATACTGCTGCCCAGGCTGGCTCTGTTACCTGTAAATTAGTTATTAGGAAATGCACTGAGATGAATATCTGCTGTAAATGTGGGTTCTTGAAAATTCTTCGTAATTTTTAATTCCTTAAAAGTCTTAAAATTTAAGCCCATTCTTTCCATGCTACTTTAAGGTCACTGGAAAGGCTAGAACAGGAATAACTAGAAACATGACTAAATTAATCCTATCCCAGGCACTTAATTCTGCTCGAAAACACACTATAAACATGAATTGTACATAAATTTCAAAAAGCAACTAAAACTAAACTTCTGCTAAATTTGATAATGTAGCCTATACAGTACTTCAATTACATTGTGCTGGCACCTCCTCCAACTTAAAACGTTCATTCATACAGATATATATGCTTGTCAGAAATCTTGAAATAAGTGTAACTTTACTAAACTCTCTAATTTCTCCACATTATCAGCTTAAGCAACTTAGAAAAAAGGGTACTTAGTGTATGATGAAGATAAAGTGAATGTGGTGTGGTTGTGCATGGCTGTCTGAGCCAACACAACCATTTTGGTGCTCTGTTAGTAAGCGATAGCATGTTTTTATTTCGTCCCTAATACTAAACTGGTCAGATCCTGTGCAACTTTTAACACAACTACAGGAGAGAAGGTGGCAACTGCAGGAGACAACAAATGTTCAATGGCAAATCCATTTTTTTCTTTTAAAATACTTTGATTACTAGCATTGGTTAGTAATGGCAAAAAATAAATAGCTGGCCTTTTCAAAGCAAATTAACAATATACTGGAAGGAAACAACTCTCTTAAAATATATTCTTCTGAAGTGTTCAGTGACAGTGGAGCTTGTGGAAGCTCACTGTTTATTGCATGGAAACAAGGGGAATACATGCCATTTCAGTGTCAGTAAAGACTACCCACCTCTATTAGCCTCACTTCAGTTTGTGATGCAGCATTCCCTGCATCAGTGATAATACAGCTGTTATCCACTTAAGTAGTGTGTTCATCAGACCTGCAGTGCTAGTTTTTAAGAAGCAGTTATTGTGCTTGCTCCCTAAGGATGGAATGTGTATCTGATACTGCACTTTGCTTTTGATCTTCATAGTCATATTAAATGCACTATTGTTGCTTCTAATGGTAAAATAACACTGAATGGATGAAAGATGTTAATACAGCTTCAAAGGAATTAAGAACATTTAAATATTGAAGTCTGTGTGCACATGTGGGTTTTTACCAGTTCACAAATGTTGTGTTGCGTATGCTTGTATTCAGAAAGGTCTACTCACTTCTTCCATTGCTAATCCCTTAAACATTTCTAAGCATTAGGAGGGAGGATTTATTTTCGTATATAAAAATTAACAGAAGCAAGTCACTTGAAGAACAGCCCTGTTTTGTCAAAGTAAATTCAAATGCCTCTGTTGGTTAACTTTTTATGTAGAGAGAATAAATATTTTATGATTTAGTACACTATAGGTAAAAAATAAGAATCACCTTTTCAGAAATACATGAAAAATTTAAAGATCTTAAATTGCTAACTGTAAGTTAGCTATTTGGAAGCTTGGAATGTATGTAGTAATTTGGCTCACCAGAACTGAACTTCGTGATGCACTGATTAACTGGCAGGGCTTATTCAGTGAGAAACAGGATGCACATGCAGCAGCTGGAAGCCTGCCATGAATCTGAAAACATTATGTCTTCCATGAATCAGTTGAGCTGTCTGCAGGCTACTTCTATATAGAAAATGTGAGTAGAGGCTTGTGCTTTGCCATGGTGTGAGCTGTAGAAAAGTATAGCAGTGACACCTTCTTGGGAAGGAGTTTAAGTCAGAAGAGGTTGAGGAGGAGAAATCTCCTAGATCTCATGCATTTTGACAACCTAACTACCACTTAGTTTTAACCTTTTCTTTAGAAAAAGAAGTCTTCCTTGGCCGAAAAAAATACGGGCAGTGTATAGGAGACAATTCCAAGTTTGGAATAAATTGGAATCTTTATTGCATATCATCCTCACTTAAAGAGAAGATGCTTACTTCTTTCATGCCCTTCTGGTAAGACTACAGACTTTTGTGTGCCTTTACTGTATTAAGAGGAAGGCTTAGTTTAATTTTGACACACTTCCTGTTTCAGCAGTAATTTGACATTTTCCTTCTTACCTAAATAGAAACAGACACAGATTATGGCTCTGTCTGACTCGCTGTTAGGGACTTCTCGGGTCCATTCAAGTCATGTAGATTAGGACTCTTCAGTTCCTAAAACAAAATAGTCTCAAAAAGGAATGGTAAAATGGTGTCAAAATCACGAGATGGGCTGATACGAGTTCCTCGGGTGTAAAACAGGATTGTGTGTATTTCTTTGCAGTGTTCTTATTTCACATGGCTTTCTCATGCATTTAAGTATCAGTGTTTTTGAGAAAGATGGCTTTTGATACTCTCAAGTGGAGCTAAACTTCATCTACGTGCTGGTGAGATGTGTAACTGTACAGGAGAAGTGAAATAAAGAACACTGAAGTGTAAGTTTGAATAGATGTTTCATTTGATTACTAGCAGTGAGTGCAAATTTGAGTTGAGGCAAATCTGTGTCCCTGTCTCAGAAGCACCCGTGTGCTTGTTAGGTTTTCCTGTTAGAGCCAGGAAAATGGTGGGGTACAAGGGCAGGGAAGACGTGGACTCATTGTGGTTGTGAAGCCATGTCAACAGGACTTCTCAAGCAGTGTGGAGTGTCCCCTTTCTCATAAAAACCCCAAATGCTAAGTTCTTGCTACTGAACTGCTTGTGGACAAGGTTGTGGTTCTAAATTCTTTTTGAATACTTGCCTGGAGTACTTCCTTGACTAGGGTCCATCTCCTTCTACACAGTGTCTCATGGCAAAGAAGACTTAACATTATTTGAAAATCCTAAACTTTACTCTGGCGTATTATTTGTAACCTAAATGAAACATGATTACTGAAAATACAGGCTCAGTAGAGAAGAGAAAAAAATAAAAAAGAGAAAGGACTAGATTGCTGATGAGCATATGGGAAACCTCAGGAGAACAGATTGGTTTTCCAGGCAGAGGCAAGATTTTTACTACTTCTATGGCTGGCTGCTTAGCAAGGTTGACTTTGATACTGCTGTTTCACTGTGAATTGTGTTTCAGTGAGGGGATAATAAATAGCAGCTTTTCAGATGAAGTTGTATAAATATATTTGGGATGCTTTCACTATTATAGTCACATAGCAGCAATGTATATTGTTGGTTTTGTGAAACCTATATAGTTTACTAGTCTTCTGAGAGACACAGAATGTGAGGTAGGCGCTGCCTCCAACAGAATGCTCTAGCAGCAGCACAGCTGCAGGGCTGTGTGCTAACAACCCTGTGTAACAGGCACGCTTTCAAGACCAAAATGCTTAATTTGAAATCTTTCAAAAAGTAGAATCTGTTGTCACTGTCACAAGGTTAGCAGAGTTGCTTGCTACTTTCTCAGTGCGCTGAAAATGCCAGGTAATAAAATTCATAGTATGCTTACAACTGGGAGAGTATGAAAATGAATGAGAGAGGGAGAGTATGAAAATGTATGAAAAATGAATGATATAAGAAGATGCCACTGTTACCTCTACATTTGTTTGGCTCCTATTTTCAAATATCAGAATCTACATGCTTTTGTAAAATAATGATATGAAGTTAATCCTTCTGTTAAAAAAGAAAAGCCTACATCAGTGTTTTCTTTGTTTTGCTTGTGGATATCAGTTTAGCTTCTTAAAATTGAAGAAGTTGCTTAAGATCTTTAGAATGCAGGATTCCCTCTGAGCCCTTATGCCTGCGGTTGAGCAATAAAAGGTTGAAACGTGTGGTATTTTCAGAATTATTTTAGGTTTCGTGAGGATTATTGCCAAGAAATGAGAGTGCACTTTTAGGAGGGAATGCTATTTAAAGTGTATAAATAAGAATTAAAATAGTGTATATATATTTAGAAAACAAATCTTTTTAAACAGTGCTTTACATGTTGAATTAAAAATAAATTAGCCTATAAACTATACCATCTTCACAGACCTGGCTGCTACCCAGCACAGTTTGGTTTGTTTTATTTGTGATTGCTGTACTAATTATATTTGATTTTTTTTATCTGTAATGTAACAATAGTGTATTATAACAGTATATAGTGTACTATACTACACTTCACTGTACAGTATTTGGAATTTTCTTTGATTGCTATATTAAAACTGTAAGTTAAAACATCTGCTTTGGTTTTATAAGGTGCAACTTTCATCTAGCATTTCATACGTTAGCCTGCTTATGTAACACTGGTTTGGTTACAGAATGAATGAGTTGTAATTATATTGACTTCTGTATTTTACATATGAATTGCATTATACTTGCATACATGCATACTAGCACAGAAGTTGAAATAATTGGTACGAATCTTAAAAAAGTAAACTTAGACATCATTCATTTTGCTTTAGTTATGTTTCTGTTTAAGAGGAACCTTTTTAAAAGAAAAACTGCATGGAAAAGTTCAGGGTTGTTTTGGTTTGTTTTTTTCTGACCTCATACCTGTTCTGAATGCTTCATTAAACACACAGGACCTTTGAATTTGAGGAATTTTTAAAATAGGTTTTTCTATAATTGAGGCCAAAATCTGAGATCTGAATCTTCCTTCAAAGTTGTCACCAAGTAGAAGGTGTAGAAAGATGCTGACCAAAGTAGTACATGATGTTTAAGGGTATATTGCAATCTGTGGTTTGAAACATTGGTCAGAATGTATTTCAAAGCAAAGTTTTAATGCATGCATGTAATATGCAAGTATGGATAGTATAATTGGGAAGCACTAGGCTTTTGAAATTTGGCAGTACTGGAAAATGAACATACTGGCAAGTACTTAAGTTACCTCTGTGCTTTTTCCACCAGCTACATGTGGTTAATGCGTTTCAAAAATTGGCTGTAGTCATACCAAGTCTAAAAAGAAGGCATAAAACCCATCTGCAAAACTGTGCTGTTAGTTCTTGTATTTATTGAAAGGCTTTAATTCAAAGCGTGCTAGCATTAAAGCATTACTTAAAATGATGGGCATAGAAAGTCAATTTTGATTGCATGTCATAGCATGAAGAATTGAGTATTTTCCTTTGAAAGATTTGTATTTCAGAGGCTTAAATGCTTAATGCTAAGCTAGAAATTTACTCATCTTTATTATTATTATTTAATAATGCAGTATTTATAATCTGAGCCAAACCCAGTACTAAACACATGAAGAAAGCATGTTAATGCTTTCAAACTGTTTTCATTTTTCTTCTTTTATTAATTGTATAGCCTTAATACCTATCTTTTTTATTTTACATTGGAGTTGTTTGGGTTGGGTTTTTTCTTCCCTTTATGTATATCCATAGCAAATCTGCTCTGACATCCGTGCAAAACCACAGCTTCCTGCCAGAACAGGACCCCTCATAACGTGATTTTGTACTTAGGATCAGGGTGAGAGTAAACCTTGGATGTTCATCAGCATCTGTAGTGAGTTGTGGAAGGTGCTTTTGCTATTACAGAGAGTCAATTTGAACATGTATATTGACTGCAGAAGTTAATAGGAACTTTGTTGCTTTGCTTTATGTAGACTTTATTGAGGCTTTGATATGTGTTGGATTCTACTGACTTGCAGTATTTATATATTTAATTTATATTACATATTTAAGCATCAATAAAGTAGTAGTGTTTAGATCCACAGTAGAGTTGTAGCTGGCACTGAAGAAACCCAGTGTCACAACTGAATTTAAATGTTACTCTGATTGGAATTACTTAAATTGATGTATGCTGAGTAATTCTGAACATTTATTAATATCATCAAAGGCATTAGGCTTCAGTGTAAGCATTACCCCTGTTGCAGTAACTTGCAGATACTTTAAGAAGCTCAAAAAAACCCACCCTATTGTTCTCTCTTAATGAAAGGCATTGATTCGATGATTATGAAGTAGCTGCACGGACTTGCATTTGGACTTCACCCACTGTTTTTTTAAATGACTACCTAATTTTGTTTTCTGCTGGAAATAATACTTCTAGTGGCTTGTCTTGCTGGTAGCAAATCTAATTTCACTTCTGAAGTGATCCTGAGGATCTGGACTGCATCTGTGCTGTTTGGAAGCTTGTATTCAGTAAGTAGAAAATTAAGATGATAAGTGGAAGGAATTTACCAGAAATTAGAAGAAGGTTTAGAAGGTGCTATGGTTCTTACTAAGCCAACAGTCTGTGGAGCCTGGCTGTGTGAAATGCACAGTCATTTCTCATAAACATTTAAGGTGTGTTTCAAGCAACTTCTTTCAGAATAGGGGAACTTGATTTTATAGGCTATTTTGTCAATTCAGTATACACGTTTTTTTGTATTTTGAAGCTGCTTTCAGGTTGTCATGTTGTATAAATGTAGGGAGATACTTGCCAGATGCTGCCTCCTAATCTGAACCCCTCTCTTCTTTCCCACATGCATCTGTGCAGATTCTGCAAACCCTAAAGAGGTCTCTTCTGATTTTGGGCTAGCTTTCCTGTTTGCTTTCCATCTGCCATTTGGACTTACTTACTGAATCATTTTTACCACAGACTTTTTTGTAAGCTTATTGTCCTCTGTGTATATTGTTGCTCCTAGAGACAGTAAGAGGCAATAGATACATGATCCAATTTCACACAAATTAGACTGATGTGAAATTAAAACCTTGTTTGACTTCCTCAAAGAGTGGTATGTATGGGACAGAAAGAAATGAAGGGAGATTCCTAAGAGAACAGAGGACATGGGAAAGGGAAGAAGATACATAAAGGTTTATCAATTATTCTGAAAATAACCTCTTAGTTCTATAGGACAACCATGTTTCACACTGTTCCACCTCCATGGTGATGAGCTTTAGAAGCTGCAGTGGCTCCCTCTAAATCTGGGATTTCCCTGAGATCCACCTTTCTTTTTTCCTAAGAGCAGAAGCTGCCAAATACATGTTTCCACCCAGTGGGAGAGAAAGGGTGAGATCTCAACAGTTGTTGCCATGTGATGGTGTAGGGCTTGTGGCAGCAAGAAAAAAAAAGCCAAAATGCAGAAAAGGCAAGGGCCTAACTTAAAATTATGGGGAATTAACTCCTATTTCTAACTATTTGTATGGTCACATCTGCTCAAGTGTTGCTAAGTAGGTACCTTAGTCCTACATCTGAACATTGCACATACAAGAATACTAATTTTCACACACACACGCACCCGCCCCCCCCCCCCCCCATGTCTTTCTTAAAATTCTTATTTTCTTCTGTAGATGCTGGAAGTGGCAATTATTTCTGCAGACAGCAGAAGGGATCCAAGAAATAATGGTCAAGAGTACCTGCTTCATTCTGCTTTCAAAATAATTCAAGGCATGGTACAATGGAAGAAATGAAATAACAGTATGTCTTTCTTTGCTCCCTCTGTTTCTCCTAACCTTAACTTCTTTACCATGTCGTATTCACTAACACATTTTTAATTCCCTGCATTTGAAGTCAGCTGAGCTAGCCCATTCCTTTCTTAAGTTTGGAAGCTTTGAACC